TTTGATGTATAGATATTGTGTTACAATAAGAAAGAACATTGTTATTATAAGCTGAGGTGTTTGTGCGTAATATACATATAACTAAGAAATAAAATCACATTACATAGATGCAGGCATGTACACACAACCTTAACATTACTTAAAATATTCTTATCATATTTCCTTTCCAACAACAAATCTTGAAAAGAATGCTTATGTTTGTAATTCTAAAAACGAGAATTGCTTTGAAAATAAAATACAAAAAATTCTTGTCTAACTTCCGTTTTCCTTGTTTGTTTAAACATACATTTTATGACAAGTCTTCTGATCTGAAAATACGTATCTTGCTTTGTGTATAAAATTTATCTATACCAGATTATTAAATATAACAGAGGATCTGAAAGAAATATATGATGTGGTTCTCATGTTATAATCATTCTAAGAATGTGGTGTCAATACACAATATAAAACGGAATAAAACTGTCAGTAATTGACTTCAGGAAAACTCTTTGATATAATATAACAATGGTAAGTTGTGATACTTATTGTCAATATGAAAGCATTTCTATAACAGATTTGACCTCAACTCAAGGCAATACTTAACTGGAAAAAATGTAATTGCCGGTTTGATGACGTTTTAAAGTTATTTCCCTATTTTCATTAACCACGACAAGAAAAACCCCCAGAAAATCACAATAATCTCAAACGATTGACGGCAAATGTGTTTTGTATTATCTGTAAAAAATGGCTTACCAATGTCCATGATCCCAATAAAATGTATTTTCAGATTTGGGAAAGAAATGTAATTTAAGAAGGCAATAATTATGGGCCAGAATATAAATGTCTTGAAATCATCGGATAAAAAATATGAAATATTTACACATTGAGATATGAAAATCTAACCCTGATTGTTGACAAGTATTGTGTCTGACCCTCTTGTAGGCAGTGATAAACACCATTGAAGCCTGTAGTCATCAATCAAACATTGGCACAGTCAATATTCCTGATCACACCGAGATCGATGCCAGTCGTTTTCTACCTTTAACACTCGTCATAGTTTACCTGTCAATAACAGTTACCACCAGTGTAATACAGACGTTAAACCCAGAAGAGACAACTATAATGATATATACATTAAAATTTATTTCTCATTGAACCGTTCACAATATTCCAGATTCAATTCAAGAGAGAAATTTTCTTCCAGATCAACAAAACAACAAACAAGTCAAATACTCAACGAAATTGTGGTTAAAGATAATGAATTAATCATGTTTTATTTGTTTAGAAACGTTATGTTAATCACTTTTTTTTTGATAGGTTGCTATAATTTTTGAAAGCAGCCTTATTATTTGAACTTTAAACACTGTCCGATTTCGATGATATTTACTTTGAAGGTGTATCGTGAAATCGCAGTCAACACTTTGACATTTATTCTAGTATCAGTTTAAGCCATATGGCTGAATAATAGGATATACGTAACAATTCACATCGGTTTATAATGTTTTATGTTGATGTTATCTAAACTTTGTCCAAAAAAAAACGTCCATGAATTGAATATGGCGCTAATAAATGACTGCTTCCGTTAGATTTTGTCCGCTAATTTTGATTATAAAACATGTCAAACGTCGTAACGACACAACAATATCCCCTGTGGCACAATCAAATCTGTGATACCGAGGATGACACAAAAGACAGGTAAGTGAATAACACATTTTATGCAAAGTTATTAACAATAGATTCAATCAATTCATTAATCCAATTATATAAACGTTCCGACCTTCTCAGACTCGTCAGTGATACTACTTCACACAGCTGTTCCGTTCTTCTAGGAACCGACATTGATGCTGCATTATACAACTGTTTCGTTCTTCTAGGAACCGACAGTGATGCTACATCATACAGCTGTTTTGTCCTTCTAGGACTCTTTAGTGATGTTACATCATACAGCTGTTTCGTCCTTCCAGGACTCGTCAGTGATGCTACATCATACAACTGTTTCGTTCTTCTAGAAAACGACAGTAATGCTACATCATACAGCTGTTTTGTCCTTCTAGGACTCTTTAGTGATGCTGCATCATACAACTGTTTCGTCCTTCTAGGAATCGACAGTGATACTGAGGCTAAATTATTGAAAATGAGGTGGTGACTGATTGATCCAAATGGAACTTCACCTTAGTCATACTAGCACCTTGCGAAAAAACCAACCGGCTGCAGAGATATTGACGTGACCTAATTATAGTGTTTTCTGCCAGTGATGGATTAGGCACAGGTGAATGTGTTGTCCATACTCAGTGGTTCGCCTCAGGTGTACGGACAAGGTGGCCAGGGGTCACTCGGACAGTGATGTATTGTTGTTACACTCTTTGTCAACATCTGTTTTAGTCTGCTGCGTCAAACATACACAAGAATCTGTTTCATCATGCCTACACAGAAAGTAACGCTGTCATTTTGTTTATCGAAACCTATTTCCTCTTTGGAGAGGAGCAGGAATCACGAAGGTGTCCCAAATGGCCATATGATGTATATTTAAAAAAGGGAGTGTTGATACAGTTTGGCATCTAAAATGACCAGATCTTATTTTACTCAGTATTTTCTCTGTTGATTTATTATTTTTGTCAGTATATTTCGGGGAAAATCAAACCAATAACATTTTTCATAAAAATACAATTCCTGCATTATTTAATATATTTGTCTTTTGCTGTCATATCTAGCCTTAATTCCAGTGTTAGTATTTAATATCCCGACAAGTCAAGAATAGACAATGACATCAGGTGTTCCTGAAGAGTAAGCGTGTTCTTTATCACCGACGACGCTTGGTAAGTAAGTCGTGGTCAACTCTACTAAGTAATATCACTTTCTCAGATAAGGACAAAGCTAACATTAACGGTATCACCAGCCATACTAAGGTGCACCAAACACGTCCAACTTCATATCGTAAAGTAAGAGAGTTTCCACTTGAAGTTTTAATAACGCTGTCAATCAATAACAATAATAACCTAGATTTTGTACTTCTCACCAAATCCTGTTTTGTGAGTTTATCTGTCAGGCATCGTGATATTAAGAAAACTCATATGAATATCGAATAAACTGCTATATGTGAACCTCTATGGTTGAGTAATCAGGACTGCTGCTATCTTCATGTTTATCTCGGTCAATGGATCGAAAATACAAAAACTAACAGCACAAAATCTGAAGTCATTGCGGTTAACATACAGTTAGGTGGAAGGCTGCAGTTATTTCCATTGAAGGACAATAGCGAGATAAGTGCCTGATGGTTAAGAACATACTCACCTCTTTGGTTTTCTATTCTGGTTAGCATAAATGTAGCCGAACCTCGTTATAGCGAAGTCGTATTACTCAGAGATCCCGTTTATGTGAAAATATTTCGTCTGTCCCAGCCAAACTTTTCACCAAACATTTAATCTCACTTAAATCGTATACTCTGAAATCTCGAATTTTTTTTTCAACTGTCTTGTCGATTTCGAAATAACGAAGTTCTACTCTAAATATACATAAACATGTTACAAGATCCCATACCAAATACAGACAAATGAAAGATGGTTGATACTGAAATTGTGTACTGAATGTTCAATAAATAATACACAAAACGATATATGTTGTATCATTTATTTATTTTTATGTGCCGTTCATGAATCTTATATTTTTTTCTCACATTCATTGGCGTAAAAGCATTATCAAATTCTCCTCATCTTATCAAATGATGCCAATGTTGTATAAACACTTCCAAATAAAAGTGCGTACATCCCTAAATAGTAAAAAAAAGTTTTATATTTCAAACTTTTATGTTTAAATTTTTATATTTTGAATTTTTATCTTTAAATACATGCTCTTACATCCGATATAAAAGGTTACTAGCTCTCTCCCAAGCAATTTACAATTTGTTCTTTATCATGAACGACGGGGACTTTTGCAATAGCAGAAAATCAACAAATTTTACTATATATCATCCTTACTTGAAAACCTTTAATGATACTGACCAAAACGATCATATTTATTACTGGAATATTGGACGAAAGGGATAGATGTAATTATAATTTCTGATATAATTTAACAGGTAGCATAGAATATAGAATTATAGAATAGAGTATCAATATTGAACGTTATTCTGATCTGTTTACCATCTGTGATGATCCATCAAAAAAAAAGAAAGTTTTATAAGAATATGTAAATCCCGTCATATTTTGCAGTATATGCCACCAAAACCCTAATCAAAATTTTAACGTTTTTCTCTTGGTGTTTTTGTGACACCTACAATAATAAAAAAGTGTTTGTATTAGCGGTAATCTTATCTCAGCGTTTTACGCAGTAAAGATATTGCGCTGAAATATGATCACGTGCGTGAATTTCAGTTTCAAAAAATATTTATTGTAAATGCGCGTATTCAATATCGTTCATTTTTGTTCAAAACTGATATTTCTCTAACAATTTGGTCGCTCCCAAAATAGATATGTGTTCCAGTATTATTTCGCTGATTCATGTAATGATATTGCCGACCAACCAGCCATTCATACAACAACACGTACAACATGTATCCTTATCAAAAAATGTGTCGACGACACTAGAAAAAACCCTGTCGTTGAGGTCAGTCAAGACATATCCTGATTGATATCTATAATCACAGACTGCAGACACACAATTCGTCATGAGATCTCGTTTAGAGTTTGGGTTCTTAGGAAACTATATCTAATAAACACATAATTTCTGTTGAATCTTTTGAACTTATGATGCTCAATAACATTGAATTATGTTATACACGTCGTATATCAGTCAGTTATTTATTTTGATGTTAAATATCCTTGGTCCTTATACTTTTCTATACGTCATGATGGTATCATAATGACACATTACCTGTAAAAGAAGGCTGTAGCCAAACATAATAAACAATACTTTCCTTAAAGTTTTTTGATGAATCCTGAATGAATCAAATAATAATTCAAAAAATCAGTGCAAGAACAAATTAAAGGTTTTTACAAATTACATATCATTTCTAGTTTGAAATTTTACAAAGGAAAGTTGACAGCATTATTTTGAGGTGACGATCCAAAGTCTATACCAGGGTTCATATCTAAACCGAAACCAGGCGAACCGATGTCCGGAAACAGTCCAAAGTTATTCATCCCCGTATCAGAGACTGCAATGTTATTGGAACCACCAGGAGGAAGTGTTGGATCCTGAAATACTAACGGGTCAGCTGGGCCGCCTTGGTTCACGGAACTGGCATCAGAACCGAGTCCATTAAAATTGAGATTTAGATCCGGAGCGATGCCGCTTAAATCTAATCCTCCTCCAGATCCCTGTAATTTATCTGGGCCTATAGCCACACCGGAAGTACCACTCGAGCCAGAACTTCCATGTGGAGCATCAATTCCAACACCGACATTTGTCCCAAGACCAAGATCAGGTCCGAAAGCAGAGTCGACTCCTACACCAGGACCTGAACCATGACCTGCCCCAAAACCGGAGTCGACTCCTATACCAGAAACAGAACCATGATCAGTCCCAAAACCGGAGTCGACTCCTATTCCAGCACCTGAACCATGGCCATGCCCAAAGCCGGAGTCAACTCCTATACCGGGACCTGAACCATGCCCAGATCCGAAGCCAGAATCAACTCCTACACCGGCCTTAGAGCCAAGACCAAGATCAAGTCCAAGTCCTAGATCGAGGCCGTGAGAGGAACCTGATCCGTGACCTCCAAGATCAGTCCCGTGACCAGGATCTTGTGCAATGCCTATACCTGGCCCTCCGACACCTTTATCAGCTCCAAGACCAAGGTCAGGACCTCCTAATCCACCTGGACCGGTGTCTAATACACCGACTCCGCCACTCAGCGTTTTTGTTCCGGCACCAAAATCGTTTACACCAACACCTATATTACCGTGGCCGGACCCATCAAGACCAAAATTGGGATCTAGTTGTCCTCCAAGTCCAAGGCTGTTATCTATGGCAACACCTGCATTTCCTGTACCACCGAAGCCAAAATCAAGACCAAGTCCTCCTACTCCCACTCCGAGGTCATTTCCTAATCCTTCTCCTCCATCTATACCGATCCCAGCAGATCCATCTAGACCAAACACGTTCATTCCACCTAAGTCTTGAAGTCCTAGATCCTGGACAACACCACCCAATCCCTGATTACCAGCATCTATCCCTATACCTAGACCAGAATCAAATCCCTGACCGAATCCAATATCAGCCCCTTCAGTTCCCAATCCCGACAAATCACTTCCACCTCCGAACCCTTGATCTATTCCAAGTATACCTACAGGTAGTCCGGGCTCCATTCCCATGCCGAATCCTGCATCCACACCTCCTATTCCAACACCTAAAGTAGGACTGCCACCTAAGCCACTTCCTGATATACCGACCCCAGAGCCTATACCGCTGGCCCCATTGCCGCCACTCATTACGTCTATTTTGACCTCTATATTTTCCTCCTTCAGTCCACCTTTGCCAGCTTGTCCGCCTAAGGCATCTAAGTGTCCATGTCCAGCGCCGAATCCAGAATCCAACCCTGCGGCTAATACTCCGACACCTCCATTCAATCCGCCATCCATGAACCCACCATTGATGCCGATTGCGTTCAACCCACCGTTTACACCGATTCCGTTCAACCCACCAGATATACCGACAACCCCCACGCCTTGGCCAAGGAAGTTATTGGCCATACAGCTACAGACGCACCCTACTTCACATATTTTCTTGATCATACAGCTACTTGAGCAATCGTTGTTAGATCGCAATGATTTTTTCTTTGCAGCACATCTCAAGAAAGCTTTTTTCCCGCACATTGGAATGGATCTTTTGCTGGGTAATATATTGATATGCTCAGTGATGTGTTTCGGAGCTGTCATGAATGGCTTTTTCCTCTGAATTATTTGTGGTCGAACAATTTTTCTAGGTTTCTGCCGACAGCTACAAGTACATTCAACATGGCAGCCCTTATATCCACATCGTTTGTAGCAGCGGTTTTTGGTATATTTCTTGCAGACCAGCATTTCATATTTCTTACATGTTTTCCCGAATGGCAACGGAATGACTTTATTCTGTGCCATTCTTGTACGTCCATACGATTTCTTGCTGACGGGTCCATAAGATTTCTGCCTGGGAAATGACCTCATGAAGCTCCTTCTTCCGCCGTAACTTGGACCGTAACCTCTGGATAGCCCACCCTACAAATAGAAGTTTAAAAAGGTCTTTCAGCTGGTTTTTCGGTAGCTGTAAAAAAAACAATGTTGGAAATGGATTATCCCTGTAACATGTCAAATATCAGTTGAAGCATCATCATTCATTTCGACCGATTTTTTTTCTCAGTCGTCCCCTAGCCTTCAACAAGTAGCGTTGGCTAGTCCTAGGTGGACAAAACAACTGTATTTTGCAGTTTAAATCATATTTTGACTATGCTGATCACCTGATTCTACATTTGTATTGAAAGGTTGTGTTATACACGTGTGTGTGTCTCTTAACAAGTATCTGCTAGTGGTTATGTGTAACGTATCGATGGGACAACACTGAACAAAAGAACATTATAATATGCTGACACAAACATTCAAATAACATAAAGCATATTATAAAAGGCAATATTTGATATACTCGATTTAGACAGAAGATTGTACAATAGACACAAAGGTGAATAGCACATGTCCATAAAATATAAATACAGTCGAACTTCATTAATTCGAAGTCAGTTGAACTGTTGAATAACTTCGAGTTATCAGAGTATTCAATTTAAGTGAGGTTAAGATTTTGAAGAAAAGTTTGACCGGAACAGACGAAACACTTCGAATTAAAAACTTCGTCTTTAATGTATACGAATTCGAAATAACGAGGTTAGACTGAAAATACAAAGATAATAGAGTCAAATGATAGAGGAAAATGCATCGCTCTATCATTACTCGTCATTTGTTGTTAAAAATTTAATTAAGAAATTCAGAAGAAAACAAAATAAATTCAAAATTGAGAGAAAAGTAAAAATTTGAAGTTTAGAGGTACACTGAAAATGTTTGATATCTATTTTCTCCCATATCCGTAAATATCTCTTTTCTATTCAGCTTTATTTCACTGTCCATGTATCGTTTATTTTAGATACGTATTTGTTATGGTGAAATCAACTTCTGTAATATTTGTACCGCTCAGAGACAATTGCAGAAACTCATGTCAACATCAGTTTGATTAAAACTAAAATTAAATGAATTTAGGACAAGATATGAACGACGAAATATTAAATATATGTTTACTCACGAGAGATTAAAGGGAAAATAAAAGCACATATTCAGGAAAATTGAGTTTTCACATAAATATTTCTAAATCAATGAGGACACGAAACCCCCAAGGAACGTTAATTTAAGGACAAATAACAACATACTCGGTATTTATAGGGTTAATGCACGTTTTGTCTATTTAATTTAATGGCGTTCACAACAATGGAGCTACAAACTGGCATGAATGCACATGTCACCCAGCAATTGAGCGTCATATTTACACGGACTTTTTTTAGTGTGAATGTTCTGCTGAGTGTCAAACTTTTTGCTGACTGATGGATCGTCTACACGTGTGCACTTTAAATCAACCATGCGTTACATAATGATCAATACATACTATCTGTACTTTCGACTTCATATCTACATGACCCAAACATTGAACGAGAGTACATCAGTGCAACATCAGGTGTATATGCCATTGGAAGTTGTTTTACACTATATACAAAAGAAAACGTTTTTCTGCACTGATATTCAGTAATACCCCCTCCCGCCCGCCCCCCAACCCCACCCCCACCCCCGCACTTATTTTCTTATTCTATTATCATTATGCTAGGTCGGTGGCGCAGTAGTAGCGAACTCGTCTTTTTATCATTGGCGTCCGCGGTTCGATTTCCGGAGCGGACGTGAAAAGGTATGATGTTTCCTGAGCAACCATGTTAGTTAACTCCAGTACTCAGGTTTCGCCTGTTTCGCAGTTGTTGTAAAATAGATAAAATTGTTATTATAATTTCATTATCATATTTTATTCACAGAAACGTGGAACGCATAAATGTATGTGCTGCGAGGTTCAAAGTTCATTGCTGTTATAGTTATATAGTTTTACACACATATCTCACATATCTGTTGTGCATTTCTAAGGGACTTTGACGTAAATTCTCAACTTACTGACGCAACGCACCAATATACCACACCTTATTTTTTCAGGGAAACTAATATCACTGTAGAATAGATCAATAGAAAGAACCACATTATGATATAACTGCTTAGTTGACGCTGAATTATCAGTTTAACATATCTTCATGAACATAGAAAAAATCAGTTTACCTCATCGTCAAAAACACAGAAAAATCAGTTTAACACATCTTCATGAACATAGAAAAATCAGTTTACCTCATCGTCAAAAACACAGTAGAGACAGGCTTCCAACATCGTCAAAAACACAGAAGAGACAGGCTTCCAACATCGTCAAAAACACAGAGGAGCCAGTTTACCTCATCGTCAAAAACACAGAGGAGCCAGTTTACCACATCGTCAAAAACACAAAAGAGACAGGCTTCCAACATCGTCAAAAACACAGAGGAGCCAGTTTACCACATCGTCAAAAACACAGAAGAGACAGGCTTCCAACATCGTCAAAAACACAGAGGAGCCAGTGTACCACATCGTCAAAAACACAGAAGAGACAGGCTTCCAACATCGTCAAAAACACAGAGGAGCCAGTTTACCTCATCGTCAAAAACACAGAGGAGCCAGTTTACCACATCGTCAAAAACACAGAAGAGACAGGCTTCCAACATCGTCAAAAACACAGTAGAGACAGGCTTCCAACATCGTCAAAAACACAGAGGAGCCAGTGTACCACATCGTCAAAAACACAGAAGAGACAGGCTTCCAACATCGTCAAAAACACAGAGGTGCCAGTGTACCACATCGTCAAAAACACAGAAGAGACAGGCTTCCAACATCGTCAAAAACACAGAGGAGCCAGTGTACCACATCGTCAAAAACACAGAAGAGACAGGCTTCCAACATCGTCAAAAACACAGAGGAGCCAGTGTACCACATCGTCAAAAACACAGAAGAGACAGGCTTCCAACATCGTCAAAAACACAGAGGAGCCAGTGTACCAAATCGTCAATAACACATAAGAGAAAGGCTCCAAAATCGACAAAATCACAGAGGAGCCAGTTTACCACATCGTCAAAAACACAGTAGAGACAGGCTTCCAACATCGTCAAAAACACAGAGGTGCCAGTGTACCACATCGTCAAAAACACAGAAGAGACAGGCTTCCAATACAGAAGAGACAGGCTTCCAATATCGTCAAAAACACAGAAGAGACAGGCTTCCAATATCGTCAAAAACACAGAGGAGCCAGTTTACCACATCGTCAAAAACACAGAAGAGACAGGCTTCCAACATCGTCAAAAACACAGAAGAGACAGGCTTCCAACATCGTCAAAAACACAGAGGAGCCAGTTTACCACATCGTCAAAAACACAAAAGAGACAGGCTTCCAACATCGTCAAAAACACAGAGGAGCCAGTTTACCTCATCGTCAAAAACACAAAAGAGACAGGCTTCCAACATCGTCAAAAACACAGAGGAGCCAGTTTACCTCATCGTCAAAAACACAGAAGAGACAGGCTTCCAACATCGTCAAAAACACAGAGGAGCCAGTTTACCTCATCGTCAAAAACACAAAAGAGACAGGCTTCCAACATCGTCAAAAACACAGAGGAGCCAGTGTACCACATCGTCAAAAACACAGAAGAGACAGGCTTCCAACATCGTCAAAAACACAGAAGAGACAGGCTTCCAACATCGTCAAAAACACAGTAGAGACAGGCTTCCAACATCGTCAAAATCACAGAGGAGCCAGTGTACCACATCGTCAAAAACACAGAAGAGACAGGCTTCCAACATCGTCAAAAACACAGAGGAGCCAGTTTACCTCATCGTTAAAAAAACAGAAGAGACAGGCTTCCAACATCGTCAAAAACACAGAGGAGCCAGTTTACCTCATCGTCAAAAACACAGAGGAGCCAGTTTACCTCATCGTCAAAAACACGGAGGAGCCAGTTTACCTCGTCGTTAAAAAAACAGAAGATACAGGCTTCCAACATCGTCAAAAACACATGAGCGTCAGTTTGCCACATTGTCAAAACAAAGTGTTCCACACCGCCAAAACACAATGAATTCACCCAACCTGAGCAGAAAGCACTATATTTCCCTTTTAGTACACCTCTTAAAAACTCATAATACCAAGTATCCAGTTCTCTAGACTTTACCCGATCAATGTTTCCTGATCGTTACAGAGCCGGATCAGTACGTGCCTGATTCATTATAATCTTATTTAAGATATTTCCTAGTTTAAATGTCTACGTTTTCAGGTCAAAACTGCATAATTCTTTAATATCTGTCTCTATTTTATTGTCCAGAACTCATATGACCCAATTAGGATATACTAGATTATAAATTGTTCAAATATTTCCGAGGGAAAATTAATAGTTTTCAGTTTAGAATAGCTAAAACTTCCCTCAATTATGTGTTCAAAACGCTCCTGAATACATCAATTAATTATACGCAATGCAGCGACGCATTCGTTCCAATCATACACTTTTTTTAAGAATTTTACATTGTTTAATTTCATTTTATCATTTTATCTACGTCATCCTCATTTCATCTGTCATCAGAACTGATGCCTTACCGTCATCGCATGATTTCAAAACAGCAAGATTAATGAAAAAGTTAATTCTAAGCTTTAAATGATAAAACAAATTGGAGAAAATTGTAGAAAGAGAAATATTGGGGAAAACATATTTCATTTACATTTTTCTGTATCAAAGGGGGACAACTCACCTGATGTTTTTAAGTTCAATACATTCTCCAGCTTCGATAATGTAGGCCAAGAACCATTAAAATTATGATATTTAGCCGATAATGGGGATTTTTGTTTTGAATTATTGTAAAATATGCGACATCTATTAAAATACCCAAACAAAAATACAACTATCATACTGTTGGATTTATATACATACAAATGACATTCCGGGGCCATATCTTCCGTAATA